TTAATGCGGCCCTGCTCTAAAGAAGTAAATTTAACAATAATTCAACAAGTTTTTCTGGAGCACCTACTATATATTTAAGGCATTAAGTGGACACAAAGATGAAAAAGCCAATTTATGCTATCCAAAATTCATAAGCTAGCAGACCAACATTGAGTTTTAACTATTTAATGCACTGTTAGTTTCATAATGTAGTCAAATTTCCTAGTTAATTAACGACTTAGTGAAAGCACTACTTACTTATTGAAAAAGCCATTCTTTCTTTAATGATTAGAATTGCCATACTCACCACATACTTAAAAGTTACATAGACTAAGATTTGTATTTTGAGTTTTTATTTTGTTCTATATAGTTTAGCTTCTCAACATTACATATTCAAAATTATTTATGGCTTTATAATCTTTCAATGTCCATCAGTTCACAATATTATTATTTTTTAAAAAAAATATTGACTATTATAAACTGTTTATTCTTCTAAATCAGAAGTTTTCAAATTATGTATGCTGCTTTGATGAAGAGAGGGGGCTTTGATCACAAGGTGAGGCTGAGCAGGCTGGGCACTGGGTTTGCCTGCCACTCTTCTTTCAAACAGAGTACAGCAGCTTAGATTTTATCAGCTTTATACATCAATTACAATTAAAAAACATAATTTTCAGAAAGGGACACCATTTGCATTATTGATAAACTATGTAGTTTTTTTCTAGTAATAAATCTGCCAAAATATAAGCCTGACTTGTATGCAGAAAATTATAACACATCACCCCAAGAGGAAAACCTATATACTTTAAGCATTCACTCTCAATTCCAACTTTCTCCCATGTCATGGCAACTACTAATCTGTCTCTGTGAATTTATCTATTCTGGATCTTTCATACAAATTGAATCTATAATATGTGGTCTTCTGTGTCCGATTTGTTTCATTTAGCACAATATTTTAAAGGTTTATGTATGTGGTGGTACGTATCAGTACTTCTTTTTTTTATGGCTGAATAATATTCCATTGTATGGCTATACCACATTCGTTCATCAGATGATAAACGCATTTGGGTTGTTTCCATCTTTTGGCTATTGTTCCTAAGTGTAATAACATTTTATACTTGTTTGACTGGAAAAAAATTATGAAGTAGATAATATCTAAGTATTGGAGAGATCTTTTAAAGGATATGTTGCTGATGGGGACGTAAATGTTTAACCATGTTGGAAGATAACTTGGCATTATCTTTCAAAAGTGAGCATTCACATCTTCTATGATCCATCAATCTCTCTCTAGGTTTTATATATCCAAGAGAAACTTTAGCATAGAAGTACTATGAAATACAAATAAGAAAGTTAGTTGTATTCTATTCCTAAGAGGAAAAACTTGAATCACTCAAATGTGCATAAACAAACAGCCATTTGTTTCAAGGAGTTCTGCTATAAAGGAAAGAAATAGAGCAGCAACGGAGGTTGAGAATTTTTTTCTTTTTAAGATAGAAGGAAAAAATAGCATGTTTGAATGCTGAAGAACAGATTCCATGGGAAAAGGGAAAAAAATATTGCTGGAGAACCTGATTTCTCTGAACTGGATTTGTTTCGTAGTTCTGCAGTGTGTACATACCCTCCAGTTTTAAGTTTTATCTATAATTCATTTGCCCTTCTTAAACTGCTAAATCGAATAGAGTACATCAACTAAATACCCAAAGGGTATTTGTTGTTCTTTTTGGAACTCCTATAGGAAATTTGACTGGTCTACATTCTGTATCACCATAGAAATCAGATCAAATTTACCATACGCCTCCATTCATAAGTTATTATAAGGCAATCAAAATGAATTAACTAGAGTTACAGGCAAAAACATGGATGAATCTTAGTAACCAAATCTTGAGTGAAGGAGGCAAGTAGAAGACTACATGTAGTTATGACATCCTTTCAAAAATGTTCAAATACAAGCAAAATGAAGCATTATGTTGCTTAGTCATACTGTGTATGTGATAACATGAACGCAAAAGTACAAAATTCAGTTCAATGATTACCTCTGGGAGAACAGGATTGAGTAGGTGGTGGTGGTCAGGTGGGGCCTAATACGAATTTCTAATGAGGTCTGAGGTGGTGCTAAAGCTGCTGTTTTGGGACCACACTTAAGAGAACCACTTTTAGTTCTTAGGGTGAGTTGTGGATTCACAGGCCATCCATTCCATTTTATTATTAAATTAATAGAGTATTTAAGGGGGGGTGGGGTGGTGGTGGGGGGAAGATGGCTAGTCATAGACCAAAGATGAGAGCATGTAATGAAGCGAGGATTAATATTAATTCTGGGCTACTAAGGCATCCCCTCCAAAAGAACTAGGCTTCAGTTAATAAAAGTGAACTTGAACAAAAGTGCTAATTATTTTTCTTTCTTTCTCCGTCTCCTACTTCCAGATTGTGTCTACTAGGTTATGAGATAAAATTTAGATGATATTTCAGAGCCCTACGATGACCAGGGCCTAATACAGAGGGCATACTCTATGTCTTGCGGTGTGCCAGCCACTGAATGGGGTTTCTGAAACAACTGCATACAAATTCTTGCCCACACAGTTCAGCCTAGCGAGGAAAATCGATTTGCAAATATAAAATTACAAGCTAAAGCCGGGCATACAAGATGTTATAGAAAGACATTTATCCGCTTTCACCCCTAAGCCCAGTTCATCTGAGCTATACGACCAGCGAGCTGCCACAATTCACAGTTGCCAGGTCCGAGTCCCGCGGAGAGAGGAGGCGCGGGCGGGGCGCCGATTCCATTGGCTTTCCGGCCGGAAGCGGCGGGGAGGGCCGGCTGCGCATGCGCCCCTCACACGTGCTTCTAGAACGCCCCCTCCGCTGCTTGGGCCGGGCCGGCATCATGCTGCGAGTTTCTGCCTTGCGGCTGCTGGAACGCATACTGGGGAGTAGGGTCTCGCTCCTGGACTACACTTGCCTGCGGCTCTACAGTTCGGGCCCTCTCGGTGCCCGCGAGGATGCTCACGATGCGCGCGCCTACTTCACGACACCCATTTTCTATGTGAACGCCGCGCCGCACATTGGGCACCTGTACTCCGCGCTCCTGGCGGACGCCCTATGCCGCCACCGTCGGCTCCAGGTTGCCAGTGCCGCCGCCACGCGATTCTCCACTGGTACCGACGAGCATGGCCTGAAGATTCAGCAGGCAGCAACCGCTGCGGGCCTGACCCCGACGGAGCTGTGCGACCGAGTGTCGGCCCAATTCCAGCAGCTCTTCCGGGACGCTGACATCTCCTCCACCGACTTCATCCGCACCACCGAGGCCCGGCACCGGGTGGCTGTGCAGCACTTCTGGGGAGTGCTGAGGGCTCGGGGTCTGCTCTACAAGGGGCTCTATGAAGGTTGGTATTGCGCCTCCGATGAGTGCTTCCTGCCTGAGACCAAGGTCACCTGGCAGCCGGGCCCGTCGGGGGATTCATGTCCTGTATCTCTCGAAAGCGGGCATCCTGTCTCTTGGACTAAGGAAGAAAACTACATTTTCAGACTTTCCCAGTTCCGGGAGCCGCTCCAGCGGTGGCTGCAGGACGACCCTCGGGCGATCACCCCCGAGCCATTTCATCAGGCAGTCCTTCAGTGGCTGGAGGAGGAGCTGCCGGACCTGTCAGTCTCTCGCAGAAGTAGCCACTTGCACTGGGGCATTCCGGTGCCAGGGGACGATTCGCAGACAATCTACGTATGGCTGGATGCCTTGGTCAACTACCTAACTGTAATTGGCTACCCAAATGCTGAGTTCAAGTCTTGGTGGCCGACCACCTCGCATATCATAGGCAAGGACATTCTCAAGTTCCATGCTATCTATTGGCCTGCCCTCCTCTTAGGGGCCGGCATGAGCCCACCACACCGCATCTATGTCCATTCTCACTGGACAGTCTGTGGCCAAAAGATGTCTAAGAGCTTGGGCAACGTGGTGGATCCCAGGACTTGTCTCGACCGCTATACTGTGGATGGCTTTCGCTACTTTCTCCTTCGTCAGGGTGTCCCCAACTGGGACTGTGATTACTATGATGAAAAGGTGGTTAAGTTGTTAGACTCTGAGCTGGCAGATGCTTTGGGAGGTCTCTTGAACCGATGCACTGCCAATAGAATAAATCCTTCTGGGACCTACCCGGTCTTCTGCACTACCTGCTTTCCCAGACAGCCGGGGTTGGTGGGGCCATCAGTTCGTGCTCAGGCAGATGACTATGCTCTGGTGAGTGCAGTGGCCGCTTTGCCCAAGCAGGTAGCAGACCACTATGCTAACTTTCAGATCTATAAGGCTCTAGAGGCAGTGTCCAGCTGTGTTCGGCAAACTAATGGTTTTGTCCAAAGGCATGCACCATGGAAGTTGAAGTGGGAGAGCCCAGTGGATGCTCCCTGGCTGGGTACTGTGCTTCATGTGGCCTTGGAATGTTTGCGAGTCTTTGGAACTTTGCTCCAGCCTGTTACTCCAAGCCTAGCTGACAAGCTGCTATCTAGGTTGGGGGTCTCTGCCACAGAGAGGGGCCTTGGAGAGCTCTATTTCTTGCCTCGATTCTATGGACATCCTTGCCCTTTCGAAGGGAGGCGGCTGGGGCCTGAAACTGGGCTCTTGTTTCCACGACTGGACCAGTCCAGGGCCTGGCTGGTGAAAGCCCATAGGACCTAGAAACTCAGTTCTTACTGACTTGTGGTAAAAAAGCAAATGAATGATTTTCTTATTTTGCATTTTCAGGAAAGTTAATGTTTTCTAAGTCAAATGAGCACATAAGTGATGTTCCTGTGAAAAAAAGAGGCTTGTAAAACTTTTCAGATGCCTACCAGCTATTCTTTAGTTCTCTGTGCCCATTAACCACTGTCCTTTGCACACCAGTGTCTCTAAGATGTCTCTAGGTGAGAAATGGGTAAGGGACATCTTTGCTGATGCTGTTCCTGCTCACTGCGCTCCTTTCCAAACCACGGTTATGTTATTTGTCCAGACTACCTCTTATGGCTTGTTTTCCATTGGCCTGGCCTCTGCTGGGCAAATTAGAATGGGGATTGGAGGCCCTTACCTCAGCATTTAACCTTATTTTGTTATATATGTTGGCCCTCCTGTTAAAAAGAGGTTATTTTAGAACACTTTTAAAAATCAGGGTCTTAGACTGGATGATTTTTGCTCATGTCTATATTTTTAGTTCTGAGAACACTGACTCCCTATACTTAGTTAATAGTTTGTTGTGCTTTGTAACATTACGTTTCAACCAGTAGATGGCTCTAGTCTCATATTGAATTAACAGTGAGGTTTCAGAATCTTTAGAATAAATTAGTTTTCTTTCGAATTTTGCAGAATTTAAAGAAAATTTTTATTGTTTTTCTTAAAATTAGGGATAACTGCAACCACTGCTGTTTTACAGAAAACAATGAAGATAAGAATCCTGGTTTTTTTAGACTACTGAAAAATGACATTTACTTAAATGTTTAGTAAGCTTATAAGTAAATTTATCAAGTTTGGACTATAAGTTATAAAGCTCTCCTGAGAGACTTGGTATGTTAAAATTTTAAACTTTTAGAACAGATTTAGAGGTATGATTTAAAAATTCTAGTTCAAAAGGGCAATTTTTTTTATATTAGTCTTAATTTTGTTATTCTCATACATAATTTACCATATATGATTTCTTTTGGTCAATCAAGGTCTATGACACAATATAGAAATTGCGGAATAATTATTATAAATGTTAATGCATTTACTTTTAAGGAGTTTTTACTGATAATTTCTTTTGCTCTTTTAAAGTATTAAAGTTCAAAAGTTTGTAAGTACCTTATTCAGATCTATTTTGTCACATTTGTTGAAGGCGATGGTGAAGGGAGGCAATGATCAATGCTTCAAGAATCTCAAACTAGATTTAGGGATCTCTCCAAGGCTCCATAAAAGAACATCACAGAAGATGTTAAGGTATCAATTTATACAATGATTACGACACTGTAAGCCAGTGTTATTATCTCACAGATGATTGGACCACTAGGCCAAAATTTAAAATAACTTGCCTTGAAATATCCATTCTGCACTATGATCTGAACTATTGTGCTGCTAGTTCCCCCAGATTTATTCTATGTGCTGCTATTCAGCTCCAGTCTCTGTTTATAATCAGTGTGGTGAGAGATTTCTGTTTGCTTGGAAACACTGCTTAGGAAAGAACGCGTGAAGGCATTTTAAAGGTGAAAGGACTGTTTCTACAAATGTTCCTTTAGACCTTCATTATTTTTCATAATTGAATCCTGGGCTTTCCATAGGATATATTCCAGTTACCTGCTGGGATGACTAGGGTAGATTACTGGGGCCTAGGATGGAATGTAATATCTCCTAGGGCTTACAGAGCAGAATGGTGAAAAATGGGATGTTTACATGGATGAAGGAAAACAAGTCTTGGAAAATCAGCGGAATGATAAACTCTGCCTTGGAAGTACCCTTTTAGCAGTCCTACAGTTCCTATCATGAATGGAGAGGCAAGTGTCTTCCATTTAAGTAATCTTTCCTATGGCCTAGTGCTGGTCTACACAGTGAACCTTTGCTTGCTGGATGTTAATGGAGTTCCTTTTATGCAGTCTGTCATTTGTGTAGGCATGTAACTGGCTATCAGAATATCTGTGGTGCTGGAGGGCACAAGAAAATAGGGGAACCAAAGAGGAGAGGGCATAATTATTTTAAAAGACAAGATATTTTGAGCGAAGAAGTGTGGTGGGTTTGATCTGACTTATTCTGTGGTGATATGGAAGATGAACTAGTTGGATTCTCTGTAAGAGGTAAAGCAAATATCCTTTGGCTACTTGATATATTCAATTTAATCCAGCAGTTTAAGAATGGCAAGTGAAGGATAGGTAAAACTTAAAACTGAAGGGCATGCATTTCCAAGAGAGGGTATCCTAACCACTTATGGAAGATGATAAACTTATACATCTAAGAATGCCCCTACTGCAGAACTATTAATACCCTATCTGGCATCTTTGGATCCCATTAAAGAAGGAAGTTTCTCCCAAATACTACCCTTGAAGCTCTTAAATATACATTTTAGGTTATTCTTGGAGGCAGTGTAGCAGGAGTTTATGATAAGAGCACTGGTCAGGTGTTCACAGGATGTCATAGTAATAACAAGATGTCAACTTGGTAGACTATAGTCCTATCTATGAAGTCATGCAAGTTGTGGGCAGTATACATGTTAAGGGGTACCTCTGTATTCTGGAGGGCTATTTCACAAGTGGACGTATAGATTAGGCACCTCTGGAGTCAGAAGATCTCTGACTATATAGGGTCAAGAGTAGGCTGGAACAAGAAATAGAGACAACCTCTGATTTCACTGAAATATCAGTTATTCTGGAAATAGGCCTCATCATTTTTCTTAAGGACCTGTGTGACTATAAGAGCCGAGAAGAGCCTGCTAAATTGAGTATTAAGTTGATGCCAAGGTACTTGAGAAGGCCTAGGCTGGAACGTGGGCCTTGAGGCACAGGGCTTTTAAAATTTTTTTTTCCATATTTGTACCTGTGATTGGGACATGGCTCTTAAGAGCACAGGTTAGGGGGATCAGTTCTAGAAGAAAGCCTTTGAGTCCCTAAGACAGAATAAAATATGTCATTTTAGCACAACACAGCTAGCCCTGCCCCTTCCTCATAAGAACTTTGGATAGTGTTGGTTAACTTTTATCAATAGTAACTTACCAAATATGGAAGTTAATATTGCTGGAAGGGCCACAACAGTAACAGCCAAGTTAATTAAGGTTAATTAGAGATTTTAACTTTCTGAGAAGAGTGTCTTTATTCTTTTTTGAGACAGAGGATAAAAGAAGCCTGGCCTAAGCTGCTTTCCTCTATCAGTAACTACTTTGAGCCAAGGGGAAGGGACTAACACATTCGGAGGTGAAATTAGCTTATTCTCTTTAGTGTTTAGTTAGTCCTGGATCACCCAGTGTAGAGCCTCTGAATTAAGGAGCCATCTAATAGGGAATTGTTGACCATATTTAAAATACCCTGCTTAAGATTATATCACATTCATCAATTTCTACTTATATTTCCTGATGAGGAAAGGTAATTGAGAAGAGCTACCCACCCAGTAGATATTAGGCCATATCTTCCTATGGCCTAGACAACTAGAAATAATATACTTTCTATTGTTCCTCTTCTCATCAATAGCTATTGGGAGATTCAGCCATACTTGGATCTTCAGCAAAGTAAGGTGAGGCTGTAGTATAGTAGTTCCATCCTTGGCTATGAACCGAATTTTACCCCCATTCACCTTATGACATAGTTTAACTCACCACAGATTTTAAGTCTACAATTTCTCACTTAAGAACAGGATGGTATGAGATGTCAAGATGTTTCAGGAAACCATGTGTGCCATCTGCAAGAAGAATATTATAGCTCCAAGGAGAGATGAACTCCACCTTCAAGTCATTAAGGATTTTGGGGTAGAACATTTGCAGAAGGCCTGGGTAGGCTGGAGGGACAGCTCTAGGAATAACTGTGGAAATGGACAATTCCACTTTTCTAACTGTGTGGTATGGTGAAAATGACACTAACTTTATGCTATTCCACCCTAAGGCTATGCTTTGTGCATGTACCCCTCATTAGTTGACAGTCACTGGTTTGTGGGATTTAACATAAAGATGAATCTTCAAAAACTAGTTTATGATTGACTTATAGATGGAATAAACATTCTATTCTCTTAATACATTCAATAAAATATGACCAACTATACTTTTTTTCCTGATTATAATATTTTTAAAAAGGTAATATCTTTTAATTCAGAACACAAGGTAGTTTCAGTAATTTGGCATCCTTTGAACTACTTAGAAGCATCCATTGGGTAAAAAACTATAAATATAAAAAATATAAAGTTAACAAGCATGTTACACATTTTAGGTTAATCACTAAAATAATAAAAATAGAATGTATTTCTTTCAAGTCAGATGTAAATAAATGTTAAAGAAAACTCAACCCAACAGAAGATAGGAAGGAGAAAAAGAGGGCAAAGAAAAATGAAAAATACAGTAAAAGAAAACCCATAATAAGATGGAAGAAATAAATACAAATGTATAATTGTAATATAATAATAAATCATAGGATGAACCTTCTCTCAAAAGACAGCAATGTTCAAGCTGAAATTTAAAAAGTTAGCTATATGTAGTTAAAAGGTATATACTTTAAATATGACATGAAACACTAGGCATATATTAAACCAAAAGAAAGCTGGTATCTTAATAGACTATATTGAAGGGAAAACCATTACTAAAGATCAACTGAGACAAAAGGAATAATGTACCAACAAATTATAAGAATGATGAGCTTGTATATCTAATAATAGCCTCAAAATGTAAAAAGCTAAAATTAAAAATGACAAGAAATGTTCAAGTCTGCAAAAAAAAAAAAAGGAAACTGCCTTTCATGAGTTCAGAGAAACCATGCAATGAGAAAGTAAAACTATAACTTATATTAGACATTAGCACTTCCAGCTTTAATGTTCACTACCAAGGGGATCATCACTGCTAAGTGTGAAAAAAATAATTTTATTGCAGGCAAGATTTTGTGACTAAAATTTTTTCTTTTTTCCATGCATGCCTCTGTGAAAATAACTTGTTTTTTGAATAGAAATGTCAGCAAATATACTACCTGTTCAGTAAATCCTCACTATGGATTATTAAAAAGGGAGAATCTCATGGCCATACTTTTGCTAAATTTTCTAACTGTTACTTTAGTAATAAGCGAAGGTGAAGGGAGGGAACCAACACTTCTATGTTCTCTCATTTACTTTTCCCATCAATTCTGTGAAGTATTATTCCTTCTCTGTTTGATGAGAAACTGAGGCACAGAGATTAACTTGATTAAGGTTATACATCTTATAAAACAGGAGAGCCTACTTATCTCCATGTCAGAATGTCAGCACCATCCTTAGCACCAACACCATAATCAATCAGTGAGAATATACTGAAGACGCTTAGTACCAACACCATAATCAATCAGTGAGAATATACTGAAGGCGCTGTATTGTGGGGAGGAGGAAGCAGTACAATCAGATCCAAAGACCTGAAAATGCAAAGTCTAAATAAGGACCCTTAATTGAAATACATCAATGAGTGTTTCAAGATGAAGAATTAGTTCTTGAAACTAGATTATGAAACAGATATTCTTTAGCTTTCAAGAGTTTCCTTTATTATCTGCTTGTATGTGCTTGTGTAAATTAAAAAATATAATAATTGTATAGTCTCTATTTTTCTTTTTCCTTTTGTTTCCTATTTTTAGAATGCAGTTCCAAATTCTCGACTCCAGCAATTCCCCTCTAAGTGAAAGTATGTTATCATAACTTCATGAACCTAAGTATTTTGAAATAACATTTTACTAATTGGTACTTAAAATACACATCTCTATACATGAAAACATATCAATATTCAAAAGTTTTATTTGAATTAACTATTATAGTAACAAGGCCAGATAATTTTATTGGAGGTTACAAACACTGAAACTTTTTCATTTCATATATACAGTTTTAATACAAATGAACTTTTTAAAAGACATCTAGTTGCTAACAATTTAAGTTCTATGAATTTATTAAACATATATTATTCTTATGACATCTGTTTTAACAAGCCTGCAGAAATCAGATTAAATGCCTCTGACTCGAGTTTTACTAAAGTAAATACCACCCTGTTAGCTAAAATGCCACATATTGGATAATTCCTGATAAATTATCATCTCATATATGACAGTCAAAACATTCTAACTTCCCCACATTAGAAACTTTATGATGAATTGCATAAAGACTATTCTGTCTTAGTTTATTACATTTTTTTAAAATGAAATGTAGCTATTATCTTGAGCATGGGCTACACCTTGAAAAAGTGTGATAAAACATATGTTTATATAGAACTTTTAGCCATCACCTAAATTGTATTTTTAAAAATTTCTTAAAAAGTAAGTTCTTGCTAACTTGGAAGGCCAAGAACACTTCCATCTTTATTTTGCGTTTTAAATGATTTCTTCAGAACTGTTTAAATTCAAGCTACACAGTTCCATCTTTAGCAAGGCATGATAGGCACTTTTTCAGTATTCTTTGCATGGTAGATGATGATGTTGATAGAATCAGACTAATGCATTATAAATAATATATGACATTTATTGGACTGCCTTCAAAAGTCACTAAAGGAATTTATTAAGGCTTTCATAAAGCAAAGAATTTTCAGTCCTGGTAAACTGAAATTACTGCATTTACTTTATATTTCTGTACAACTTATTTTATAGAGACTTACATTTTTAGAAAGTAAAACTTTTTAGTCCTGAGTTTAGTTTCATTTATAACTCATTACTGGAATGTAATTAAATAAACCAAGTTATAATGTGTAAGAAGTCTATTTTGGTATTATAAAAAATCTTAACTAAAATAAAATTATTGAAAATATGTGCTGTTAATTGCATGAGAGCTGATGGTTAGATTTCACACCATTTTAAGATTTGGAAGGAGTATTTTTTGCTAAGTATAAAGGAAATATTTTTAACATTATGACATTGACAGGTAAAAAATGGTTAGTTAATAATCTTCAAAGCAGAATTTTTAAAAATTAAAATGTCAACATAAAAATCAGCTTCTAAAAAAGTAGTTAATTCATAGCAAATTTTAAATAAAACATTTTTGGATGTAACTGATGTTATAAAATTAGTTTTCTAGCCTAAGAAGATTATATGGCACTTCTTCCTTTTTCCATAATCCATAGAGACCATCATCTCAAAGTGTAGTTATCAGTTATGGGGCACAAAAACCAGTAGAAATGTATAACTGTGTGTAGCTAAGTGTAAAAATTAGGAAATCGACCTGATCGTAGACAAAAAGGAAAAATGGTGAAAATTTACTGCTTAACATTGAGAGTAGTGAGAAAGGGACTAAGTTCAAAAGAGTTATCAAAACCCATCATTGATAAGTTTGTAGAGGTAGATGTTTTAAATGTTCAATATACGAAGGTAGGTACTTCTGAGCTCAGGAGTTTTAAACATTCTCTGTAATACACATAGCTAGGGCATAGGCATACAAATCTATCTGATAAACATAGGATTGTTGCTGAGTTTTATTTTCATTTCCCCTTTGGCACAGACATTAGGACATTAAATGTGTTGTTTTATTATTTTATTTTTTTTAAAGCCTATAGCACCTGGTATTCCTAGGTGGTCTTCCATCCAAGTACTAAGCAGGCCCGACCCTGCTTAGCTTCTGAGATCAGGAGTGTTTAGGGTGGCATGGCCATAGACTTTAGATGTGTTATTTTAATTGACAGCTATTCTTACAAGTAGCTGGATATAGCCTGAATAATCCTAAGGTTAACTTTACTAGTCAGTATTTGGGTGTAAAGATGAGTTAGGAAAAATTTACTTGTATTAGGATCTTTTTTTAATAGTTTGCACAATAGGTCAGGTACTAATGAGGTATTTAAGAAGTTTCTTTTATGTGTTGCTAAAAACGTTACATAAGTGGGTATTGTGTAGCTTTCTTTGGTACCAAAGACATGTTAAAAACAAAGATCTAAATATTATTTGCAGGAAATATACTGAAAATATTCAATCATCTCAAATTGTTAATCTATAGTATAAAATGATTATCTGTTAGATGTTTTCTTCCAGAACACCAAAGAAAAAAGGTATGTTTTTTAGGCAATACTTTTTATATGAATTAAACATTTCTTTTAGATAATATCATTGGTTGTTTCAGAACTTTATGAGACAAGGAATGAGGGTTTCATTTCCATACCTTTGTTCATTTTTATATTATGATGTAGTAAAAAGGACATGGATAATTAAAAGTTAAAACACTGATCTTTTGCAGTTATTAAAGCTGTTTTTGCTATTATGGATATGTATATTATCTATAAAAATAAGCAAAATATCATATATTAAGCAATAAATAGCAATTTTTTTTGATACATTAATAAGTTTTCATACCACCTCCATTTTTCTGTAGTTTAGGTCTGGAGAGAAAAATGAAGTAATATAATCTTTATAGAATGGAATGCACTGTGGAAGTATGTCATTACATTTGGTAAAGAGCACAACTGCCTAAAATAAATTAGTTAAGAAAAACACTTCAAATGGAAACCTTTTTTTGAAACAAAATGCAATTACTCTTGGACTCTAGAAATTTACAAAAGTTTTAGAATGAAAATCCCTTAGTGTATACTGAATAAACCTGAATAATAAATATCAGATTAAAATGTATACTGAAAACACTAGACAAGTGGAGTATTAGATTGTTTCATGGTATTTTTGAGTAGGACTCTAATTGTAGAACACTGGATTTAATACACAGCATGTTACTTTCAAAATAAATGTAGCAAAATAAAATATTCTTAATAGATAGAGTGGCCTTGGGATGTGCCAGAATATTCTTTAATATAACTATGCTATTACAGTTTATTCCTCAATCTAAATATTTAGCCCAGAAACTTTCTGGAGATATACCTAAAAATATATATACATCGATGGATAGTTTATTATCCTTTATGAGACTAGATAAAAAATTAAATTATAATTGGGTTATCATCTTCTTAATTATAAGGTTTTAATGTATAATTCTTATTTTTTACCAGGAGAAATACAAACCAGTTTTAGGTCTTGGAATGAACATGAAATTAAAATGGTGAAAGAAATAAGACTCTTAGTATTGCACAATCAAATTTCAATAATGTTAGAATAAATTTCTATGTAGTTAATTTAAATATTGCTTATTTACATAACTTTTTACTGTTTTATTATTAATCCAATCTTCTATAAAAGGAATAGAGTATTTTTACAGAAGTAAGTTGGGATATATATTAAACAGGCAGCATTTAAAGAAAAGTTGGCATGGCCATTTTTTAATTTTAAAAAGTTCTACTTAATGTGGCATTTTTTAAATTATACAAATTTTTTCAATTCTGTAAGGGCAAACGATCATAACTTCTTTGTATTAAAAGGTGAAATATAATGTTATGTGTAAGTTTTATTCAAAGTTAATGTTTTGAAATCCCAGAAGTCTCACAAACTAAGACCTGAATGAAAGATAAAAAGGACTATTGACAATGTCACTGTGTTAAAGGAAGAAATATATGTTGAATCTGACATGATACATAAAGTGAATGCTTATACTTGCTAAGATAGTATAAGAACCCTTTACTTCTGTATGAGTGACAAAAGGGCCAGAAATAGATATGGAGATAACTTTAAATATATTTAAGAATAGTGTCAATTTTATCCATAGTAACTGGTATAAAATAAATGGTCATTTATTATATATACAATATATTTATCTGTATTAATGTATGACAAATTTTCTAATGTAAACCTAGAGTTTGAAATGTTTTTTGAAAACATTTAATATAAGTAAAATATATATAAACTTAAATACTGCAAAACCAAAATAAAGCTAGAGTTTTCTACATATTATCTTTTTATCAAGATAGTGTTTTATGAATTTTCCATATTACACTAAATGGCCTGTTGCTATGTATATATTCTGTATGTGCCATGGCTATGTCTATGAATATGAAACATCTGGAACAAAAGTGAAAAATTCAGTCACCAAAAATGTTTTAAATAGTTTCACATGACATTATCATGTTGATAAGATAGTCAGATGATGACCAAATTTTTCAAACTTTATCAAGATATTTGTTTTTTTATAGATAAAACCTTTATTCTATTTGTTACAGATTACAAGTCTATGTTACTTAAGTGTGTGTGAATAAAGGAAACCATGATTTTACGCTGCACCTCCAATATTCTGGCTTCTAAGATTTCTTTAATTCCCTTAATAAAGCAAAAACATTTAACCTTAAGCACATCTAAAATCCTCATATTTGTTACCAGACCACAGATGGGGCTAGTTATTTTCCATTATTGGATAAAATAGTTATCCAAGACTTTATGTAACAGAATCAATAGAGGAAGGTGGAGTAAGAATTGAGTCCTCTGCTCTGAAATATTTTTCTAGGATTAAAGTGTGGACTTTGAGAATATCGAGGTTTCAAACCTATAGATGAAGGTTTGAAAAGCTCACAGAATGTAACCCTGGGTCCTATTAAGAGATTTCAAGAAAATTGGGGTTTTAATGCATTTTTAATGGCTCCTATTTTAAAATCACTTAAGAGAAAGATTTTAAGAATAATATTAACCGGGCCTGGATTTTGAGGAGACAAGGTGTGTTTTAGGAAATTCCCATTAGAAAGAGTAGGTTACCTTATAACCAGTGGCTAGACGGGAATCCTAAAGCTATAAAAAGACTCACTAAAAAGGATCCAAGAATAGCCCTATCTAATGGTATTTCTAAATTATTAGGTTGTATTTCCTTTGTGCCATCCTTGAACTTCGGTAAAAATTTGTTAAAAAGAAGATTTATGTACTCAGTGATATACAAAATATATGAGGAAGTAAAAATCCAGAAAGAATCAGGGAATTAATAATAATAATAATAATAATAATAAATAGTAATATTTTACCCTGCTGTTAAGTAAAACATTCAATGAACAGACTCTGTGTTCCAACAAGTGATTTTTATTTGATCCACTGCTGAACATAATAGCTTCTGGACATACTGCTTTGCTCAAGACACTTAAATAGGAAAACTTCAGCTAAGGCATCTATAATGACTAAATGCCTATGTCAGAGCATCAGTATTTAGCTAAATTCTTTTGCCTAAAAATCTCATCATTTGCTCTGCCTACTTTAAATGATTTGAGTTTGAATGTTGTGATTCAAGAAAAATATAAGCATCAAGGAGCCTGGGTTTATTTCATAAAGCTGAACAGAACTGTGGAAGTAGCATGTAGGCCAAATCAAATGCCTAGCCTGAATCTGACAATAGAAACTTAATACCAAGTGTTCTAGTAATTCTTCTAAAAACTAGCAGCCTACATATAATTACGGAAAATGAACTAAAGCTTCTAAGATGTAAAGCAAAATTTCTCTAATGAGGCATATTTAATAATATATCATTGTACTTTCCATAATTTGGACACTTATGCTACTCTATTGATCCACCAACACTCTGAGCATGTCTACTAACAATGAAATGATTTGCCAGTAATAGAATAGGTAACTATCAGGAATAAGTCATAAAAATGGGTAATTTTTTTATGGCATATCAGACTTAGATGTTTCTAGGGTTAAAAATGGTTTAAATAGTGCAATTACATAAAGAGTTTATTCACATCACTTCAGGATACTTTGTGAAGTTACAAAAATAGTCTTCTAACCAGAAAAGAAACATATATGAAGTACTGTAAAATAAAGGTAATTATCAAAATCAGTGCTGTGAGAAAATTCCTTCCAATGACATCAGGCTATGTTTAACATTAGGCACTGTTGCAATTACTGAGCTGAGGAGACTTCAGTAGGCAATTATGTTGATGATCCATTTATCATAAAACCACACACATTTAATCAGTATAAAAAGTGGCATGAATTTGGTACTTGCCATTAGGATGTAAAAGAGAAAATTAAATTATAGAAAAAAATAGCAAACACTACATGGAGGGCTTATACAAAGACTGATAAATGCCTATATTACAGTTATTAGCAAGAAGAATGGAAAGGAAGAAGAAAAGCAACCAAAGGTTCATTTGTTTTTGTTGGTGGACTTTATATTTTCAAAAACATGGAAATATGCCACGTTCACAAAATATCAAGGGTACCGCCTATAGATATCTTTTGCTACCAGAGGGATTAACAGTTTTCTGAGAAAATTTAGAACGCCTTTCTTCACACCTTGTCTTCCTTCTTATATTTCCCAGAATGCTGAATTATACATTTTTAAAGAAATTTTTTGATTAACAATCTAAAAAACTTAATTCTAAGATAATTCTATTCCCACTATTTTGGTTAGGAAACTGTTCATATTCAGGTTACTTGATTCAAGCATGATTAAACAGTTTCATGTTTATCACAATTTATTTTAGAATTGAAATATTTTCTAATCCAGAGTCCTAGATGCTTAAGGGATTAGATTAGACATTTTATTTGTGTCTAAGGTTTAATTTGTATCAGATTTAATTTTACCAATCCAAATATCCTTAAGCCCTATCATTTTTAGTCAAAAAAAGTTAACTGAATTGGGTGAATAAGGAAAGACTCAGGGTCTCTAAAAATCTGGAGACATTCTATCCAAAATAGAAAATAGAGGACTTCAGAAGCTAATGATAGTCAGATGGAGGGAAGTCTTTCTCATTGTCAGCACACTCAGTTGTTTTGGATTTTTAAAAATTGATTCAAATAACAAGGATATGGTACTTGGAAAACAAGTTGGAAAGAAGATATACAGGTGAACAGACAGGGGATTCTTTCCAGACTGAAAGGAAAACTGTTAGGCTTAGGGAATTCATGGAATAGGAAGAATATAGTTTGAGTTTTAGCTTGAAATTTTCCAAAGGGAAACTTTTTAAACACTGAAACCTATCAAAGACAAAAATATAGAGAGCATGACACAAAGCATCTCAATAGTAAGTAATGAGAGGAAAATAAACGCTAAAAAATGTTGAGACGTTTACTTTGAAGATTTTATACTTCAGAGCCGAAACTTTATTTATAAAAGAAAATAACACCACAAAAAACTATCATCTCTTCACAAGCATTATTTTCCCCAAGAAAGAAAACTCTCAGAGATGTATTTTATCTCCCCTATTCCATGAAAGAGGAAATGAAAAGTAAGAATCTAATTAACAGGCTTTTTTATTAGAAATTCTCTCTTTAGGCCTTAGGGCATACTGGAATCTTGCAGGTACATCCCAAAGAAGTGTGAGGTTCTAGGCTCCCCTGCCCCCTAAATTTTCTCCAATGAGGAACAAAAACCACTAAGTAAAATGGCTAACATAAGGAGGAAAAGACAGCCTGGGAAGCAGGAAAAGGCTTTCGTCCCTAAGTATAGAAAAGCAGCTTCTCACACCCCCTATTTTCCAAAGAAAAGAAGTACACCAACATGTTTATAACTCATATCACCTTTAGAGAAATATTAAGTGACAATTACTCATGAGTCCACACCTTGGTAGAAATGCAAAAATGAGGTTAATATAATAGCCGCACTAGGAAAATCATATACCAAAATATTAGTAAATAACCAAGTATTGGCTTTTTTTTTTTTAACTAAGAAATACATGTCGAATAAGGAAAATTGACAAATCAGTAGATGGAAATTTTTTTAATTACATGTTTTAATAATAAGTCATGTCAATATAATATCACCACTCACTAGCCTAAATAAAATGTCTTAATGACTATTTGGCTTGTTACTGTCTATCTTCACTTCAATACAATCAGGCTTGACATTATATTAGTTGATGCCGTTTTAAGCAGCATGCCTAAAAAGAATGATAAAGCAGGAAATCCTTAATCTGTTAGTTCACTAGTTTGAAATTTATGCCTATTTTATATTTGTGGATCTTGATAGGTCAGAAAGTAGATAACATCAACATTACTATGACACTAGTATACAGAAAACTGAAGATGGATTATGTCACATGGAAAGGAGAAATAAAATAATGACAGTGTGAAATAAAACAAGTGATCTTGAATGGCACTTGATTTCTGAGAGGACCCAGGAGAATGTAGAAAATATTAGCAAATTTATGCAATACATAAAAGTGAAGAGACAAAAACACATATAGCAGATCCAACAAACAGCAATAACCAGAGCTGCTCATCAGAAAGTGATACTCAACATGGAAGGACAGAAGTTGATAGAATATTTTTAGGAATTTATGCACAGGAATGAAAACACTGAAGAGAATTGAAAGAAACAGTACTAATTATGAATATTATATTCAACCTTGGTTAAATTTTGCCCTTTTCCTCTTTTAAGTCAGTAGAGATTTCAGAATAAATTTTAGTCAAAGTATAAGGCTAGGGGCCAGCAATTTACTATTATAACAATAGGGCATGTTGAAGCATGATATCAAAGTTGGATAGGATGCCCTCCTAAAGTCTTTTCTAGTCCTTTGATTTTATATTTTAATACTATTCAAGCATTATCTCTGGGAAAGATACAAAGAATTTTTGTGTATGTGACCCCAATTCATTATTTTATAGTTAAACATAGCATAAATCCAGGAAACACATTCCTATATAAGGGAGTTATATATAAATTTATTTGAAAATATTGTACTGCCATTATTGGCAGGAATTTATAAAGCAATGTTATAAACTAAATCAAACCTTTTTTTTCTAATCCATCTTTCTGAAATCAGCTGACAGGAAGTTAAAGTCTTAATTTTCCAAGATCCTTTATCTTTTGATATTCTATCATCTTTCTGTCTCTCAGATTTTGGGAAAACAGGTTGTAAAATTATTAGCTTGTGATTTTTGTACATGTACTAATATTTGAATTCACTCTGACACAGAGTGAATTTCAGACGTCTTTGGATTGGCCTTTCAAAGTGGGTACTAAGTAAAAACTTATTTTCCAAATATATCTATAGAAGATTTACAGAAAAACAAAAGAGGCTTTGCTTATGTAAGGAGAATTTTCATCCTTCCAATCTGTCAGTTTTTAGAAGTAACACGTTTGGGTTATCAAGCTGTGCCATGAAGAAGGTTGATGATATTCTCCATATATTCAGGTTGATGATAATTCCAGTTTGATTAGCTTCTCAAAGTAAAACTAAATTCTAAGAAAGTGTATATGTACGAATAATATATATGTGTGTATATATATACATAATGTGTATGTGTATGTATATAATTTATATATGTATATATATTATACATGCATATGCATATAATCTGTATAGCTCTATGGAAGAAACACATTTGGGTATCAATTATTATCAGAGTTCCTTATCTAATAATACATCATCAATTCTTATTAAAGGTTCAGGATTTGTTTAGCATCATGTTTAACATTTTGAAAATCAAAACATTAACTTTTTTTGTTCTCAGGATAGAGCTATTAAAAGAAGATCTCTGACATCAGTGGTTAATAATTTTTACTTATAAAACAAAAACTTTTGAAATTTCATTGTAGAATTTACTAGTCTATTTACACTTTTAAAAACCTAGAATACTTAATGTACATGGGATCCTTGTATGCTAGTATGTATTCATATGGCCTACTGGTCTCATGAAACTGGCAATTTGACTGGCAAACATATTCATTGTGGTTTTAAAAGACACACCCTATTTGACTCACCAGGAAAAACTTTGGGGTCTATGTCCTTTTATTTCTGCTGCAGCTGAGCATGAAAGACATTTGAGGATGGAATAGGAGATTGAGAGACAGATTTATCAGGGTAATACCAGGATTTATGGTTTTCTCCTTCTCTTCTAAAATTAGGAAGTCAGTGAAAGGACTGCAAATGAATATAAGAAGGATTTTTTATACTACTACAGAAATTTTAGTGATAACACTTATGATTTGTTCTGTAACTTTTAAATAATGGCTTTTCCTCACTATTTTCCAATTTTATAATAAGACTTGGTTTTAGAATCAGAATGTAAAGTTTTCCTGTCGTGAAAGAAATAGTTTGGCTTTTTATGAAAGCAATTGTCCTTTTAAAAATTAATAACATATATAATTGAATATATTGGTAACATATAAAAAGAAAAAGTCAAAAGATTAAGGCATTCAAAGGATACTAAAATACAGTGGAATGTCAGTCAATATTATGGGATCATGTCAGAGGTGAGCCCTTTTATCAGAACAATTGTATTAGGTGATCCATATTATACAAAATTTGGTACCAAATGGCTTATGTTATAGGAAGGCTGCACCATTATCTCAAATATTAGAGAAGAATTTTAATATTAGTCATAATAATCACATGAAAAGGCAAAAATACCTATCATGTTGATCATGCTGGTATTTCTAATTGGAAAATGTTATAAAAAAGAAGTATAAATACTACTTAAATTTTGAAAACCATGGCAGAAGCAAAATTAAATGAAGAGTAGCAGTAACAAACAATTAGACAAAAACATGTTAAATGACAAAGTAGCAAAGTAGAACTTAATCATTAAGATTAAATATAAAAGGCATGAAAGTATTAAAAATTCTGTTATTATTAGAAATGACTCTTATCCTAAATATTAAAATATATAGCAAAGAATATGAAATATAACTTCTAAAAGGTTGAGAAGAAAAGAAATAACACAAAGCAGAGAAAATGAAAGACACCTCACTATTCTCATTGTGGTTATTATTTATGGAATAGATAAAACATGTAGAAAATGTCACTACAGTTAGAGTAACACATTAAAAAAACCAACAAGCCACATCTACCTAAATAATTTTGTAAAACAGGTGAAAAAGCAAATTTCATCAAATTTAGACAGTTTATAGTGGGATAAATAAGTATGGCGAGGTATTAACTAACCCTAAGTTTCACAATGGGCAGCTTCTACCCGGTTCGTTGAAGTTGGATCTTGGCCACACAAGGATCATTGGACAAGAAATCAGTTGAGCTGGACTAGAGCTGCCCAATTGTCTTAATAATGAATGCTCCACACTGTCTGTTAAATAAAGAGAAAGAAAATATAGATCAGAAAAAGACTGAATGGAAAAAAATAAGTTAGGGTAGCTGAGTGTAGGACATCAATGAACATTTAGTAAATAATTTCAGAACATGTGATACTAATTATGAAGGAAGAGGCTAGAGTTTAGGAGAGGTCCAGAACTCAGGAAAGGCTTGCTCTCTGCTGAGAGCTTATAATCTATTTTATTTTATTATTTTTTTAAAAGTACTTTTTTACTTTTCAATTACAGTTGCCATACAATATTACATTATTTTTTTCCCCTTCTTTAATTCCCCCCCCCCCATCACTTCCACCCCTGACCTATGGATATTGTCATCTCCCCTTAAGAACTGGATCTCTAAAGGCGGGGTGTCTCCTCCCACACGCTCTCAGTGTGCACCCAGGGCCTAACGCCCCTGGGGCCTGCCGCACCCGGGGTATGGTCCAACACCCCTGGGGCCTGGCGCACCCAAGATATGGTCCATGGCTCCACCTGGGACACGAACCCAGGACCTTCTACATGTAAAGCAGACTTGCTAACCACTACACTATGGAGCCACCCCACCATACGATATTATATTAGTTTCAGGTGTATAACACAGTGATTAGGCATTTGTATAACTTACAAAGTGATCAGTTCAACAGATCTAGTACCCATTTGACACCATGTTGTCATTACAGTTATTACAATGTTATTGACTACATTTCCTATGCTATACTTTTTTACATCTCATGACTATTTTATAACTACCACTTTGTGCTTTTTAATCCCTTCCCCTTTTTTGTCTTTACCTCAACTCCTCTCCCATTTGGCAATCATCAAAATGTCCTCTCTTTCTATGAGTTTGTTTCTTCATTTATTTTGTTTTTTAGGTATTTGTCTTTCTCTGTCTGACTTATTTCACTTAGCATAATACCTTCTAGGTCCATTCATGTTGTTGCAGATGGCAAGATTTCATTCTTTTTTGATTGCTGAGTAATATTCCATTGTATATATCTATCACTTCTTTATCCATTCATCTACTGATAGACACTTAGTTTACTTCCATATTTTGGATATTGTATATGATGCAGCCATGAGCACATGGGTGCACATGTCTTTTTGAATTAGTGTTTTGCATTTCTTCAGATAAATACTCAGAAGTCGAATTGCTGGATCCTTCTTTGTCCCTTGTTTTAAAGTCCATTTCATGTGGTATTGAGTATTGCTACCGCAGCTTTTTAAACATTTCCATTTTCCTGAAATATCATTTTCCATCCTTTTGCTTTCAGTCTGTGTCTTTTGATCTAAAGTGAGTTTCTTGCAGGTAGCATATGTAAGGATCCTATTTTCTTATCCATTCAGCCACTCTGTGTTTTTTGATTGGAGCATTTAATCCATTTACATTTAAAGTTGTTGATAGATAGGCAGTTATTGCCATTTTATTATTTCTATTTTGAATTTTTTTTTCTCTTCTTTTTCTTAAAGAAGTCCCTCTAACATTTCTTGTAACACCGGTTTGGTGGTGATGAACTCCAGCTTTTTCTTGTCTGGGAAGCTCTTTATCTTTCCTCGGATACCCAGTTTTGCTGGGTAGAGTGATCTTGGTTGTAGGTCCTTCCTTTTTATCACTTTGAATATTTCATGCTAATCCCTTCTGGCCTGCAAAGTTTCTGTTGAGAAATCAGCTGACAGTCTTACGGGAGCTCCCTTGTAGGTAATTAACTGCTTTTCTCTTGCTGCTTTAAAAATTCTCTTTGTCTCTAAACTTTGGCATTTTCATTAAGATGTGTCTTGGTGTGCGCCTCTTTGAGTTCATCTTGTTTAGGACTCTCTGTGCTTCTTGGGCTTGTATGTCTATTTCCTTTGCCAGGTTAATGAAGTTTTCTGTCATTATTTCTTCAAATAGGATTTCAATTCCCAACTCTCTCTCTTCTCCTCTGGTATCCTATGATGAGAATATTGTTATGTTTGGTGTTTTCCCAGAGGCCCCTTAAACTATCCTCTTTTTGGATTCTTTTTCTTTTTGCTGTTCTGATTTGGTGTTTTCTGGAATCTTATCTTCCAAATCACCGATCTGATTCTCTGCTTCATCTAATCTACTGTTGATTCTCTCTAATATATTCTTCATTTCAGTTATTGTATTTTTTTCTGACTGGTTCTTTTTTATATTTTCTACCTCCATTTTTATGTTTCTCACCTCTTTGGTGAAGTTCTCACTGAGATCACTGAGCATCATTATAACCAATGTTTTGAACTCTGTATCTGGTAGATTGCTTGTCTCCATTTTGTTCAGTTCTTTTTCTGGAGTTCTGTTCTGTTCTTTCATTTGGAACATGTTTCTTTGTCTCAGTTTGGCTGCTTCCTTGTGTTTGTTTCTATGTATTAGGTAGAGCTGCTGTGTTTCCTGGTCTTGGTAGAGTGGCCTTATGTAGTAGGTATCTTGTGGGGCCCAGTGGCGCAGTCATCCCTGGTCGCCTGAGCTGGGTGCTCTAGGTGTGTACCTTGTGTGAGTTGTGTGCACCCTTCTGTTGTAGTTGAGCCTTGACAGCTGTTGGCACATCAATGGGAGGGACTGACTCTCAGGATGATTGGTTATGAGGACTGGTTGTGACTATAGTAGAGGAGCTGTCATGCAGGATTCACTTTAGCAGGGCTCTGGTGCCTTCTGAGTCTGCCTTTTATGGAAGTGGTTGGGTGGAGCTCTGGTGCAGTCTAGAGCTGGCCACCAGGTGTGTTGGTTCTGGGGCCTCTTGGGTGCAGGCCAAAGTCAACCACTGCCTGTGTCCTGCCTGGGGCCACTGTCTGGGGTATGAGCTACAAAGTGATCTGCAGATGGATGCTACTTGTGCTGGGCTTAGAGGTACCTGGGAGAGTTTAAGCTGAAAACTGAGCCTGGCTGCTGCTAGTGCCGGGCTTGGGGCTGCTTAGCAAGAGGCATGGGGCATAGCGAGGCCAGATGCTGCTTGTCTGGGGTTTGTGAATCTTTGAGAGATTTCAGGAAAGTCTGTAGCATGAGCCAAGACAGACCATCTGTATGGAAAAGCCACTGGAAGCGGCTTGGGTGTGCCTGCAAGTTGGGTTGGGCAGAGTTTCAGGGAAATCACCAGGGCAGGTGAATGGTGCTAGCCAGGGTGATGGAGTTTCAGATATGGTGTCTGCCTGCATGTGCAAGCTAGGTGGTAAGAGGGCACAACAAGGGAACAATGGCTTCAGCCAGCACTTCTGTCTGGAAGAAAGCTGTTCCGCCAGCCCTCTTCCTGAAGCCAATTTGGTTCCTCCCTGAATGTCTCTGATGCCTTTTGAGCTGCTGCCCCAACACTGGAGCTCAGAGCAAGTAATTTTAAGTGAGTAAGTCTGTGCACGAGTCCTTTTAATAGGAATGTCTGGGCCTCCAGCAGCTCTCATCTCACTCAGCCACTATTTCCACTGGTTTTCACGGCCAGAAGCTATGGAGACCTCTCTTCCCGACACTGGAACACTGGGCTTGGGAGCCTGGCATGGGTCTGGGATGCCTCTCTCCTCAGGGGGGCTCCTTCACAGCCAAGGTATCCTATCCAATTTTTAAGCACCACCTGTGGGTATGGGACCAGCTCATTCCTTGTCTCTGCCTCTCCTACCAGTCTCCACGTGGCTTCTTCTGTATATCCTTAGAGAACTTCTGTTCAGCTAGACTTCAGGTTGTTCTCAGTGATGGTTGTTCTGTACTTTAGTTGTAATTCTGAAGTGGTTGTGGGAGGAGGCAAGCACAGAGTTTACCTACTCTGCCATCTTGACTGAAAGTCTCTTACAATCTATTTTAGACAATTTCTAGTCTAGTGTCACAGTATAAATGTTTAGTACATAAAATGAAGAACTGGTCAACACAGAAACTGAGTTAAAATATTCCTTCTATTTCTGAAAATATCATTAGGTGGGTTTTAAAAATATGTTTTTAAAAGGGGAGTAGAGTTTGGCAGAGGGCTATTTAGAAACTTTTCAAAACCCAAAAAGTGCCCTTGAAGTTGGCATTGATAGGATAGGCATATAGGTAGGTATCTATGCCATATAATTTTGAATAATTCCATATATATGTTTCATCCTGATATTTGTTTAATGTATGTGTTACGATTAGCTTGAGTCAAAGGAGCAACCTAGTTGGTCCTTTTTTGGTATTTTGCACATAGGCCAACTCCTAATTTAGGGAACCAAGCTTTCCCATGACTTATTTTAAATTTTGGATAGGCTGAAAATTTTCTACATTAGTTCCAATATCACTAGAGCAGTACTGTCTGATAAAATTTTCTATGTTGATTAAAGGTTCTGTATTTATACTATCAAATATGGTAGCCACTAGCCACATGAAACTATTTAGCACTTGAAATGTGGCTAGCTGCAATTGAGGAACTGAATTTTAAATTTAATTTAATTTCAATTTATATGAAATTAAAATTAACTAGCCTCATGTGGCTAGCAGTTACCATATTAGAGACAGCATGGCTCTATGGGTTTAAACATGTCTGGTTTGCTGAACTGTATAGGTTGGCATGTATTTCTCTAGCCTGTTCAATACTGTCCAATACCACTTAATATTGTTCACTGCTGTATTCTCAGTGTCTAAAATACTGTTTAACACAATAAATATTTGTTAAAGGTACAAAATCTACGGTAATAATATACAGCTATTCATGCCTAGTCAGTTACTCATACCTTATTGGTAATATGCTCTGATTCTTTCCGGAAAAATAGAGAAGTCAAATTTTTCCATGTATGTGGAATTGGTTGGTGGAAGGCTCAATAGGCCTAGAGAAAACAGGAGTGGTGCTAGCTTCGTTAGAGATCAAAAAAAAAAAAATACAAATAGTATATGAATAACTTAGGTTGATAAGTCTGGGAAAACTGAAGGAAGAATATATCTAGGTTGTTAAGTATGAAAAAATGAAGGAAGAATATAATTTTAATGGTAAAGAATTTGGTAAGGATGTAGGTCAGTTGATGAGAGTGATAAGTGGGGAAAATTTCAGATAAAAAATTAAAT